GTCTTGATGTCGCCGTGTCTGACGCCGGCTTTGTGCGCCTGGTCGACTGCGTTGAGGATCTGGAAGGCCAGCCAGCGTTTCTCCACGTTATTGAGGAAGGGCCGAGTGCTGATGCGGTCGTACAGGTTGTCCCGAACGTACTGGCGGAACAAGATGGCGGCTTTCTCGGTCAGGGAGGTTTTCTGGAAGGGCAGGCAGTTCTGGCAGGAGTGCAGCCGGATCTTCAGCTCCTCCAGCTCCTGCTTGTAGCTGGTCAGAGGCAGAGACGGGTCCTGGATGGCAAAGACTTTGACCACCACCAAGCCCTCCCGATGTTTAGCGCGAGCCACCTTAAAGAAGCGCGTGCTGCCCAGGCTCTTATCGTACTCGTGGTCGTGGATGTCAGAGAAGTAGCTGTCCACAGAGAGGATCTGTGAGGGGGCGATCCCCGCCAGCTGGTTCCCCATCTCTGCCCGTCTGTGGAGAAGAAACAGGAATGATGTCAGATCCTGGACTGAACCGTCAAACCCGGTCCAGCTCACAGAGAAGTCTGCGGTCCTCATTAAAGCGTTTGATTGGTCGGTGATGTTTTGACGGGCGGTCGGCCAAGAACCGGAGGGTTGGCGGTTTGAACCCCGTCCTGTCTGCCCGAGTCTGTCTGTTGTGTCTCTGAGTAAGACACTCACCCCCCTGACTCCCAGTGTGTGTCCCCCTCTGGTGTGTGATTGTGAGTGTTGTGTGTTGGTGGTCGGAGAGGCCGTCGGCGCAAACTGGCCGCCATGTTTGCGTCAGTCTGCCCCAGGACAGCTGTGACTCCTCAGGTAGTTTACCACCACCGGGGAGTGACTGTGTGAGTGAATGAATGAATGAATGAATGAATGAATGATGGATCCATTGTAAAGCACTTTGAGGGTCTCTGACAAAAATCGCTCTAAACATCTGATGCATTATTATTATTATTATTATTATTATTATTATTATTATTATCATTATTATTATTATTATTATTATCATTATTATTATTATTATTATTATTATTATTATTATTATTATTACTATTATTATTATTATTCTTGTTTCTGCATAAAGTTCATTTTTAACAGATTTTCACATAAATCTGCATTAGTCAGATTGTCAGTTGACCCTCCTCTCTGACTTCCGGCCGCACTGTTTGTATCTGATTATAGAGATTAACTCTGTATTCTGGGGTTTGACTCCATCAGCTGATTTCCAGCTCAGAGTCACAGATTTCGCTTCAATCCCGTCAGTTTTTCTTTGTTTCTGTCGTCAAACATCTTTCTGACCGGACTGATGATGATCAGACATGTTTGATAAAGTATTTTTTCACACATCCATCACAGCAGCCTTCACTCAGCTGATCACTCAGCTGATCACATGATCCAGCTCCTCTGACAGTGCAGGATTAGCATGCTAACTAAACGCTCCTTAAACAGAATAATCTCGATAATCCACTAACAGATGGACAATATCAGCATCAAACTAAGGTGACAGATTCAGATACTGACTGTTTACAGCTGTCTCCGTCCCCCCGCTGGTGTTGATGTTGTCGGTGACGGTCTGTGTTCAGGCTAACGTCTGTAACGGTCTCTAATTTAACTCTAAACCGTCTTCATGTCGTCCTTCAGTCGGTCAGATCGGACAGCCGTCTCCCGGTAATACCGCTGTACAGCCGGTGAGCAGCTCCGGGGCGGTGAGAGCACCACAACCGTGAATAACAACAAGAGAGTCGGCCTGAATCACGGAGCTAGCCCCTCAGCCGTGAGTCCAAATGTTGTTATGAATCCGGGTCACAGCGGGAACACAAAGCTCACCGGGGCCCTCTGCCGGCTGACGAACGCTACTGCAAAGATAGTTTATTAAAGAGATGGACCACTCCGCAGCCAAAAGGATAAAGCAAAATGTTACTCTCTCGTTTTCACATGGCGGTTTAATATGCGAACAGTCATTCATTCTGCGCGTGCATCAGGATATGGACGCAAATTTGAGTCATAAGTCAAATGAAAATAGATTTTCAGAATGTACAGTACCTGCACTTCTTAACTCATAAATAAAATTCAAAATAAATAATCCGAACTGCTTTTTCTTTTTCAAAACTGATCATCCTGTAACTTAATTCAAAGGTAAAAGAAAAACCAATTTGAGATTTAATTTTTAAAATGTGCCCCAGAAAATATGAACCAAAATTCAATTCAAAATGTCAAATCTGAAAATTCAAATGCATTTGCAGTTGGTATTAATATTCTTCATTTTATTTATGAGTCAAATTACGGAGTTTTGACTTAAGAACCAAAAAGCCATACTCCAAATGGATGTTGATTTTTTAAGTTTAATATTTTTACAATTGGTAGGTTATGATCATAACTCCATAAGTATTTTTTTCAAGTATTCAGTATATTCAATAAATTCAACATACAAAATCGTTTAATATATGAATTGCTGAGTTAGGAACCTTCCATCTAAAATCATTATCTGATTTTAGATTGAATATTACGGAGACTTGTTGAATAAATTAACCTTTTTACCAACAACAATAAGTTCAAACCCAAACTTCTGTGCGGTTCCCTGTTTTTGGACATAATCCCAATTCTCGTTACCGGGTAAACCGTCATGTCTCAGACACGATCTTTGGTCAAAACCAAAGGAACTTTCTGGCACAGACCGAACGCGAGAGCCGCTGTGTGTAAGGAAGCTCCGTTAAGTAAATATTTACATCACAGGAAATAACAAGATTCCGTTTTCAAATTAAAAGCATATTTTTTTAATTCGAAACATTTTTAACAGTCTAATACAAAGCCTTGGCCACATTGCTGTCGTGTGAAGTTTTTTTCTACGTTAATTATTTCTCCACACTAGATTCACTCTGATTAAACGGTGAATCACTGTATAACATGAAGTGGCCCGGTTTTCAAGTTGACATGAAAGTTGGATTATTGATAAACTCTCTGTTCAAGTGTCTACGTTTTTGCCTCTTTTTATTATTATTATTATTATTATTATTATTATTATTATTATTATTATTATTATTACTGCCTTTTCCATTTCCTTTTTTTCTTATTATTTCATTTATTTTATGTCAAAATTTTTGTGAAGTTATGTCCTACTGATGAAATGTTTTATCAAATTCATCAATTAAAATAAAGAAACAAACCTATTTTAATTTAGGTATTTACCATTGGTTATTATTATTATTATTATTATTATTATTATTATTATTATTATTATTATTATTATCATTAATATTACTATAATAGTAATTATTAATAATATTACGTTTAACATCATCAACAACAACAATAATAATAATAATAATATTAAACTTTTAAAAAGTATTGTTAATTGTTGCTGTATTTAATGGTTTTGCTTTTTGGCGCCATCAATCACCAAGTAAAACTTAACATTTATGCTAGAAAGCTTAGACAAAAATCGAATAAAATGTTAAAAATGTATCAAATTATAATGTGTATGTATGTGAAAATCATGTTGATAACAGCCCTAATGTACTGTTTAAAATTTTCAAGGAGCTCAAAATTATTTACCACAACAGCGAAAGAACTCTTACATAAATAATAACAGACTCATCTTAAATGGAAGATTATTTATTCCAACATCCCGTCGTAAGGTACTCCGCCCCGTGCTCTTATTTTGTAAGTCACACCGGAAGCCGGGATCACGTGTCCCTCAGTGAACTTGACATGGTGGACTGTGTTGTGTCGGTGAAAATCGCTCCTCTGAGGGATTTAACGGAAGATGCTGAAGAAACGGGAGCTGCTGGTAAGTTAAACTATTACTCCCTTCTCCTGTTGAATGGTGACCCGTCTTCACCCCGAATCCGGCCGAAGTTTCCCGAAAGAGGCACATTTGTGTTCCGAAGGGTGTCGTGTTGAGCCGTAGGTCGGCTGTGAGCTCCAGGCGGAGGTTCGTGTGGTTAGTTTACCCCGGAGAGGAGCTCTGTGACCCGCTGTTAGCCCGCTGTTAGCCCGCTGCTGCTGCTGCTGCTGCTGTCACCTGGGAGACGCTAACGTTAGCCGGAGAGTCCGGGGAGGGGGGGGGGCGGTGCTGTGAGGAGCTGACAGGGGGGCAGATGGGTGTACTGGGACTGAGAAGGAGGGGTGCTGCTCTGGTTCTGGTTCTCCTGCTGCTCGTCCTTGTTGTTCCGATCGAAACTGTTAGCTATCCGGCAGCTGTGGAAGCTAGCTTACATGCTAACAGTGGCTAACATCAAAACAGCGTGTGTTCGTGTGTTTGTTTGTGATGCTGCAGGTGGACAGGTGTGCTGCTGACCGACATGAACACCTGTATAAACACCTGTATAAACAGCTAAACCTCACCATCGGATCATTAAATTAATATGTGTTGATGGGAGTGTAAGATTTACTCATGGTGTGATTCCCTTCTCCACATTTATCCCACAATGACGATATTTCTGTGATTTACTGAAGATCAATAAAGGAAATAAAATATCTGTGTTCGATGTTAACAGGATGATATTTAGAACGAGTCAGGACAGCCTCATGTACCTATATGTCAGATATTTATGATTTTACAGCTCAAAGTAAAATTACAGACTACAGCGGGGTGTCGCAGCTCAAGGAAGAACATTTATGATCATTTCTTCATCATTTCCTTGAAGTAATAATCACCATATTAATAATTTTACAGTCGCGGTAGTTCTTCTGCCTTAGCGTCTCGGTCTGATTGTATTTCCATGAAGAAATGATCATAAATGTTCTTCCTTGAGCTGCGGCACCCCGCTGTAGTCTGTAATGGACTGGCCTGAGGTCTCTCTGCAAACAATCGTCTGCTGGAAGAGAGTAGGTGAGTTGTGTTTAGTCTCTTTGCTAAAGAAATGAGTCAAAGTTAAAAAGATGTTTGGTGTCTAGTACTATGTCTGTGACCCTATCTGTCCTGTTGATGAAGTTAGGTGCTGTTCTGAGCATTATTTGTGGCTATAGAGTGGCGTTTTGGTTGGGGGCGTGGCTCTCTGTATTTCTATCCTGCGGTCGTTACTAAAGTTGGTATAACTAGAGAAGGAAGCGGTCGACAACATTCATCTCTGGAGGGGGGGTCTAACTCGGTGTTACAGTGGGTTTGACCCTAAATTAATTTTACGCTGGAATATCCCTTTAAATTATTGCTTTGACTGCAGATCTGGATTGAAGCAGTTGTGCTGTTTTTCCAGCACTGAGAGTTGGAGCCAACCTGCTTCAGTGAGAGGGAAGTAGAGACTGCTGTTCATATAATTATTTACATATAATTTCTTTTTTTCTGGACATGCAGGGCTGCAGAGTTGTCTAAACTTTTCACTGTTGATAGAACGTTCATGTCTACACGGCAAAAGCAGCAGAATCCTCCCTGTCTCTGAGTTTTGTGAAAACTTCCTCAAAACTTCATCCTGATCAACAGGCTGACAATCATTCCTCCTTTTGAATTGTCTCTCTGGGAAAGTTTGTCTTTGTTTCCTCTTATTCTTGAAGAATCAGCTGAGAAATGTTTGTTTTCAGCTCCTGTTGAAGAAGCTTCACGGCCTGACAGCTCTTAGTTCCTTCTGTTTCCTCTGTGCTGCCTTACAGAGGCCTGTTACTTCAGCTTTTGTTGCTGAACTGAAGCACCAACATCGGTCAGGGCTGCCTGGATATCTGTGCACAGTCAGATTATTACCATCTACCTCCTCTTTCTGCTCTTCCTACTTAGATTTCTGTATCTCAGTGTTTGTTCAGGCTGTTGGGTCAGCTTCAGACTCTCAAACACATACTTTTGTTTTTCTTGATAATCATGCTGCACAACATTCCCCCATTGTTCTTCTCTACAGGCTCTGCTATATGTGACCAATGAAACTAGTGTGAATGCAATACTGCAGGCTTGGACTGTGAGGTGGAGGAATCAATTCAGTGTGCAGTGAAGCTCAGCCGAGACAGGAACAAACGTCAGAGCTGTGTGAAACTCACAGCATGTTTGAAATCACTGCACATGTTGATACAGACTCGGCTGCACCTTCAGGGAGGTCTGAAGGACCAGGAGATGGACTGGTTGAACTGGTCTGCTGTCTTTTTAAAGTCCAGTGTTTGTAGCTTCTCAGCAGCCTCTTCCTCTGTTGCTTCTACTGCATGTTCCCTCAGTGGGGGTTGGATCCAAAATAATCAAGCTCCACAAAATGACAGATAGGTCCACAGCGCAGGAAGCTGCTGTAGAGGGTTTTATTAAACACGTGTGATGCTGTTCTATTCAACAGTCTTCAGGTTGACGGTGAAGTAAACGGTGTTATGAACCTCTCAGATATGACATAGATTCTGTGAATATCACCGAGCGCTCACTGCAGACTCACTGGAGATGTGAGTGTAAAACACTCCTACATGATCTGATCTGGAGCTGCAGTGATTGAATATTGAAGTGACTGAGTAGGCGATCAATCAGCCAATCAGTTTTTTCACTGACTGTATTTTTTTAATGAATGCGGTGACAAAGTAAACACGGCTGTTAGACATGATAATCTCATCTGGTGTCATTACTGGACCTACAAACATACTTGAAGCTTTTTTAGATCGGTCCAAACAGACAGTCTGTCAGAGCTCCAGGTGTGCCCCCCCCCCCAGTCACAAAGTCTGGACACGCCCCTGCAGAGCAGCTCAGAGGAAACGGAAGGATCTGACAGGTTAACCTTCACCTGACGACTCTCAAAGACTGAGAGGAGGTAAAACGGTGACTCCAGTACTGGCAGGAGGTGTTTCAGCCGTCTGTGTCTCTGAACGGGATCAGAATGAAGTTTAGAGAAAATATCCGCCTCACTGAGAGACTCTGCTCGCTCTGTAGATGAAGTGAAAAGAGAGTATTTTTACTACATGAACGTTATAAACATGTTTCAGCAGCTCCACAGCACGACTGCTGACGCTGGTAAAGACATTAATGCAGTTTCTTTTGCTCCACATCAACAAGTGACTTGATTTTAAGAGAGTCACTGGAACCGTCCTGATGATGGCTCGTTGACACCGTCATCCTGCTCTGCTGTGTGTTCTGAGGTCTTTGTTCGCCTCAGACTTCCTGTAAAGCTGCTCCTCAGTCTTTTCTGTCTCAGGTGTTCAGACACTGAAATGATCCTCAGCTGGATCCCAAATATTCCCCCAGAGCAGAGGCTGATTTCATCTCCTCCAGTTCAGCTCGCCTGTCCTGCTCCTGCTTGTTGGCGTGAAGTGTTGGTCACTCTGTGTGCAGGAGAGTCATGTGAGCGAACAAACACGCTGCAGGCCTACTCACACACACACACACAGACGCACACACAGACGCACACACCTACACAAACTGTCAGAGCAGCTGATGGGTGTAACCAAACGGACTCCCAACATTCAGGGGAGCTTGTGATGCTTCCAGCCACACATGCATATTCATTTGAATTGCAAATTTCAGCCTTTTGTGCAGTTTTATAATCACACAAATTCTCTCACTGTGATGGAGAAAAGATGACGTTTGTTCAGGACTAAAAGTTTCTAGAAGATCTGCATTCAGATGGTGAATCAGTCAAAAACTGAAACCATGTGTGGGCGCTCTGGAGGTCCAGTCAGGATCAGATAATTAGACTTACATTAAACCAGCCGTCCAGGTACTACAAAGACTTTAAAGTTCATTCAGACATACAGCAGAATAAAGTCTTAAAATATGAATCAGACTGTAAAACAGGAGTGGCCGACTGACTTTTACACTTGGACGGTTTCCCAGAAAAACCTGGACTCTGGACCTGTTGTGATCTTGTGTTGGTGAGTCTGAGTATTGTTGCACACACTCGTCGTCTCGTCCCGAGTTCAGACTTCAGGGACACGGTGACCAGGCCGAGCTCTGATTCTGCTGAGGTTACTCATTAACTGGAGCGAATAAACAGGAATTATCTGCATCATCACTTCATTCAGGAGTGGAGCGGGAACGCCTCGCTGCTCCCTGGACCTTCTGCATGTTGTGAAAACAGCCTGAAGAAAACATCAATATTTGTTGGAGGATAATTTGACCTCTGAGTTTGTCTGATCTGTCATTGAATCTGAGTGGAGAAGAAACAACAAACAGTCTCTCCTGAGGGGCGGACATCGAACCCTCACACACCACAGGTGGAGCAGATATTTACAGCTGTGGGGGAAGAGAGTCCTGCACACCGACCAATCACAGAGCAGTCATGTGACCTCACTATAGGACCCACTGAGGTCATGTGACCACAGTAAAGCTGTCCTAGATTTCAGTCGAACCCTTCTGTCTGTGTGTGTGTGTGTGTTCAAATGTCACATGTATGGACCTGAACCTGGTCCAGAATGTTCTCCCTGTTCACCACAGCCGCTCCGACGCTGCGATCCGAGCTGTTTCTGAACTCCCACAGGAACCCGTTTCCTCGGTGACGATGACCCGCTCAGATGTCGCTGATCTCTGCATGTTGATTTAAGATGCTGCTCTTGTCTAAACTGTGACTCAGGGTCCAATAAAACCTGTTTTAGTTTCCGATGAAGTTCTGGGCTGAACCCGGTTTGGTCACCTGACGTCCCCAAACTCAAAGACTCTGTTTTAACTCTGTTTAGGACTTTAATTATGAAAACATATTTTAGTGTCGACTTTACATGATGAAGAGCCTGAACTCAAAAGAACATGTGAACTTGTTTTTGTGTATTCCTGGGAACATTTACGTCGTGTGAAAAGTGACTTTGTTTACTCGGACCTCTCATCAGGACATGTGGGTCTGACCCGGACCATCCTGGAGTAAAGTTCTGTTAGTGAAGTCTGGTTCAGGATGGTTCAGAGGAGGAATCAGACAGTTTTCTGTCCTCAGACTCTGAATCAGCGCCCCAGTCTTCCTGTTCTTACAGGAATGTGGACCTGCTCCCTCCGTCTGAACGTCAGGAACCGTGAGGACGGACAGATTCCTCCTCCGGGTCTCTGATCACCCTGATGTGATATTTGCTCAGTGAACACGTGAGACGACTCAGCTCCGCTCTACAATAATAACCTCTCTTCTAACCTCAGGGGGTTTTTACTGAACTCTCTAACCGTGTTTCTCTAAAGCGTCGTAGATCACAGGAGAAGCAGTGTGTCTCCTTTATTCCTTCACTGGCAGGAGGACGGGTCCACAGGTTCGAGAACACTCAGCTGTTGGTGGGTTTGCTTTCTGTGACCCACCGCTCCAGGATCAGGATGTTTCAGTAAAGACTTAAATCCTCTTTTTAGTCACACATCGTTCTTTACTTTGTTCACCTCGCAGGTTCACTTCCTCATACCTGTTCCAGTCCAGATGTTATCTGACAGTTTCAGCAGAGACGGCCCACGTTCCACTTCATCTAAAACACCGATAAATAACCCCGCACTGTGAGACGCCATGTTTCATCCGTGTTTGTTGACGTCTGGGTGGTTGGTCTTTGTAGAGCCACCAACCGTCTTTCTGCTTCCATGGCGTTATGACAAAATGATGGATGATGCAACTTCCTGTCCTTGAGTAGATTTCAGCATAAGAGTTCCTAAAGTGGTCATTTCTTGATGGTGACACCACATGATATTTACTGAAATGAACATGATCGATAAAGTTTATTTGTACATCATGAGAGAAATATAACTGCAGAAGTTTTTCAGTTTTGTACAGGAATAAAAAACAGTAACTTTTGCTGAAAACTGCAGAAACTAACTTGTAAAAGATTTCGAGTAAATTTAGTTTTTAAAACAGCAGTCATGGTCGGACGGTCGCACCGCGTGATGTTTTGACACTTTGAGTTTCAGAAAAATTACAAAACTCCTGATTTTTGAAAAGTTGAAGTGACTAAATATATGAGAGAGATACTTCATATACATAGGTAGTAAAATTTTATACATTTAAACCTTTTATTAACTTTAATAAAATACAGCCTGACTAAACGTTTCAGTGTTACCAGAGCTAAAGTCCAGCCGAGCAGAGGACGTCTTCACAGTTTCTAACCGTCACATTTAGACGGAGCTGAACTCACTGCTGAACGACACGGCGTCTCTCTGAGAGATAGGAGTGTGTCCAGACGGGACAAGGTTTAGTTCTGCAGCTGAAGAAAGAGGTTTTACAGTCTCCTACAAAGTGTTGGATGTAGAGGACGAGACAAGTAAAGACTGATCTGTCCACCAGGGGACAGAACCGACACAGACCCTCCTCACAGAAGCTGTGATATAAAAGTGACTGAGACCAGGGTCATCCACAAAGACTCCTGTTGACTGGGGGTACCTGTCCGTCTGTCCGTCCATCTGTCCGTCCGTCTGTCCTTTTCCTGGGCTGATCCAGAGTCAGGTTTCAGTGGCAGAGAGCCAAGCGAGTCGACCCAGACGTCCCTCTGCTGAGGTGTTCTCAGGTCAGATGAGATATATATAATCCCTCCCTCTGGGTCTGGATTCTGTCCCAGCTGGACCACCCCAGGTAGTCTCTGAAGGGGGTTGATGAGGAGGCCAAACCACCTGGACTGACTCCTTTGGACCCGGAGCAGCAGTCCTGCTCTGACCTCCTGTCTCAGACTAATCCTGAGCCTGTGAGGGTGAGGGTGAGGGTGAGGGTGAGGGTGAGGGTGAGGGTGAGGTGTTTCCGTCTCTGAGTTTTTTTGACATCAACATGCTGATGATGTAGTTCCAGCTCAGGAAATACAGAGACACATGAACATGTAGAGCAGACCTATAAAAACATCTCTGCAGATCCTACAGGAAGAGGCTCAAACTACAGCGAGTCTCTGAGACCTTCAGGGTCCAGTTTTCTGCTGGACTCTGTCATGTTGGAGAGAATGAGCGTGTCCGCAGTCAGGCCGCCTCGGAGGTTCATCTGAGTTCATCAAACTTGACAAGAAGAAGAAGAAGAAGAAGTGAATGAGGTTTGAGTCGCTAGAACAAGAACCAGAGAGCGTTTAAAGTTTGGATCTTTTAGAGCTGAAATAACGAGTCAGAGAAGAGATGAATGAGTTATTGATCTGAGACGGTTTTTCATGTACGAGAATGTAAACGTGATAATCCATATTCATAAATCATCTCTCCTACAGTAAAAGCAGAGCTCTGAGAGCTGTCAGATACATCAGGAGATCAGACGCTCAGAGACACGACTCTGTTTTTATCAAACCTGTAATTGATCATTTTGACTTCTCACATGATCAATAATTCATGGATGAATAAGTAAACAGCTGCTCTCGGTCTGATAGTAGAGAGATAATGATGGTGGTTATTATAACTGTGTTAGTTCAGAGTTTACAGTAAAGATGATCATTGCTGCTTTATTGCTCCTGTTACTATGCTAACACACACACACACACACACAGACACACACACACACACACACACACACACACACACACACACACACACACACACACACACACACACACACACACAGACACACACACACACACACCTCCGGTATAAGCAGCTTATCTCCAATATAAAGATGATAAGAACCAGGACCTGAGGCCTCTTCAGGGTCTGGATCACATGTTCAAACCGTCTCCTGTAATCCAGAGACTCAGCGCCCAGCAGAGCGCCGTGTTTGCTCTTGTTGTGTACCTGCCAAAAAGACGAAGAGCAGGAGGAGGAGGAGGAGGAGGAGGAGGGTGACAGGTGTGTGTGTGTGTGTGTGTGTGTGTGTGTATGTGTGTGTGTGTGTGTGTGTGTGTTCGGTGCGGAGGTGTTGGAGTAAAGCCGAGGATTCGCTCAGAGCAGCGTCCTCCCCGTCTCTCTCCGCTCACACTCGGCTGCCCTCTCCTCTGAGCCCGGTGTCGGTTCTCCACAGCAGCTTGTTAGTCCGTTTGGCAGCGGTACCAGTCTGCCTGGATCCACTCGGTGCTCCCCTGTAGACCCTCTGGACCCTCCTCCTTAACCTGCTGAAGGAGAAGTTACCCATCAGAGACTGAACTGTGGTCAGTGTGTGATAACTGGGCTGTGACCCCCTCACACCCACCTCCACCTGCTGTGACCCCCTCACACCCACCTCCACCTGCTGTGACCCCCTCACACCCACCTCCACCTGCTGTGACCCCCTCACACCCACCTCCACCTGTGATCAGTCAAACATGATCCATCCTGGTGTAGAAAAGCCTGCTGTCTCCTGAAGTCCTCTGCTCTCACAAGAACCTGCAGATTCATGAACAATCACACGTCTCTCTAAAGACAGACACATAGACATCTAAGCAGTAGATTGTGTCCTTCCAGAGGAGGAAATCTACTTCTAGACTTCTAGAATCAGCATCTCCTCATCCATGGTGTCATCGGGGTGAAATGACGTCTAAAAACCTTTCACTTGTTCGTCTCCGCCCGTTTTGAAAGAAGTCGGTGTAAATTGACACGTTAACTTGAATGGTTACGATCAGCTACGATCGGAGGATACGACCTTTTAGGAGACATTCTGGATGAAGGTGGAGATTAGGGAGTTAGCCCCGCCTCTGCACGCTCTGAGTGTGTGAGTGAGCACAAACTTCATCTAGATATGAGTAAAAAGAGGGGTGATCTTCATCATCATCCTCATCCTCATCACGGGCTCCTTCAGTAGAGACTGAGAAAACACCGGTGGCAGCGTCCTGACCCACGCTCCGTCTGCAGAGAAACAAGTTTTCCCAACACGCCTCACAGACAGTCATGAGTATAGAAGTAAGAAACATAGATTTGACACTTTAGAAGGTCCACTCGTCCTCCGGTCAGAGAAAACATCATCACCCACCCACCCACTCAGACAGACAGACACTGGGGGGTACCAGTACAGACGGTCTGCAGAGTGAACATGAGGGGATCTAACTCAGAAGTAGAGATTATAGATGACTGATGTTAGATTTCCTGTTTCTGATTATTGATTATTGTGACCTTTCCTGTTTGGATACGTCCACCTCAGCTGTGTGATCGTCGTCTCACGCTGATCGTCCTCCACAGATGAAGTTTGTACCCTCAGCTCTGAGCGATCACGTCACAGGACTCTTCCTCATTGCGGTTCTACGACTTCTTGAACTTCCTCTTCCTGCTGCTGTTTTTAGTGCCGCTGCTATTTTCAGTCGACTCCCGAAGCCGTCATTATGGTGTCTGAGTGAGGAGCCTCTCTAACTCTGTTTCATTCCTGGATTCAGTTTTATTACACGTCTTCAGACCCTCGGTGTGTGGTCGGATCTTCTGTCTGTCTGAAGGTTTGAGGGATTTTAGTTTTGTTGTCAGAATAAAACCCTAAAACTACTTCAGGAAATCTTCTGTGAGGTTTTTAGAAAAGAAAAGAGACTTGATGAGATTAGTCCGAGGGTTTGAAAGACTCTGAAGGTTCAGCCTCAGTCTGGTTCAGTTCTGGAGCTCTCATTGAGTTAGAGGAGCAGATGGAGATGATCCTCCTCCTCCTCATGGCTGTTCCTTAATGTGATATTCAGCCTGTAGCTGATATGAAATGCGGTCTTCACATCCTTCTGGCTGTCTCTGCGGAGCGTCAGGGTGGTTTTTTCCTGAAGTGAAATCAACACCAGCGGGTTGATAACAGCTTTGGTGGCTGAAGGCCAAACATCATCTTCTGTCTGAGATGATTCCTACTTTTCAGAGGGAGGAGTGAAACTGGAGCTCCAGGACCAGAGACACAAATATCAACTCTGATCGTTTCTCTGGTCTGAGACAGCTAACAGAAGGAGACCCAGGGGGCGCTGTTCAGGTTCCTGCAGAGCTGCTGTCTGTCTGTCTGTCTGTCTGTCTGTCTGTCTGTCTGTCTGTCTGTCTGTCTGTGGTGGTTGTCCTACACCAGCTCCAGGTTACTAGATTTCATCAGCCTGGATGATCTGATCCTCTTGGATGTTCTTGGTGTGAGACCGAAACTGACCTTGTGTCCAAACATCCAAATCAGAAAGTTCCCGTTGCTCTCTTGAGCTGACGCTGCGGTCCTCTTCCATCACAGAGTCATGGGGCGCCGTATTCCGATGGCGACTCACGGCTCAGAGTCTGTGAAGCTTTGGTTACCGCCGTACAGACGCCAACAGACGATACAAGCATCAAAGTCAGCGCTGCAGAAGTTGAACAAGTTTCCTGACAAACTCTGATAAAAGGACGTCAACATTAAATCTGAACTATGTGAAGGTCTGATGGACCAGATCCTGCGTGCTGCAGAAGAGGGTCCCAACAATCCAAGTCCAGTCATGGATTTAATCCAAACACAAGGATTACTTCAGATCTACTCGTACCCTTGTTCAAGTCGTCTGTGATCCGTCTTACCTTTACAGACCAGGGTTCAGATCCTCCAGGGTTCAGATCCTCCAGGGTTCAGATCCTCCAGGGTCCGGATCCTCCAGGGTTCGGATCCTCCAGGGTTCAGATCCTCCAGGGTTCGGATCCTCCAGGGTTCGGATCCTCCAGGGTTCGGATCCTCCAGGGTTCAGATCCTCCAGGGTTCAGATCCTCCAGGGTTTGGATCTTCCAGGGTTCAGATCCTCCAGGGTTCGGATCCTTCAGGGTTCAGATCCTCCAGGGTTCGGGTCCTTCCTCTCTCTATGCTGAGTAAACAAACTCGGCGTAGTGATCTGATCATGTGGCCCAACAAGAACCAGGTCCTCTGGCCCCTCAGCGGCTCTTGGATCTGGTTTTTAGTGACGGACTCGTCTCAGTGAAGATACCGTCTGAACATGTTCATGTCGGTCAGACTCTGGTGTTTGTTTATCTACATTATTAGGCTGAAATGGTCATTCATCCGTTCATATGAGCAGTGTTGTATCGGTGCGCCCTCTTGTGGACATAACACACAAACATAATGACTCGGCTGGTTCAAAGTTGACTCTGTTGTTGGAAAAGCAGAGAACCTTCACTAAATTTAACTCTAACTGATCTCTGGAGTAAAGACTCGCTCTCTAAGAACGTTTTCGTCTCTTTTCCTCGTGGTCAGAAAACCGTTTGATTCTCACTCTCCACACGTTCATCTTCCTCTGGAGGAACACGCCGATGACTGTCGGCTATAAATAACTGCCGTGTGATTTCAAGTTGGACTCGAATCAAAGTTTTGGTTGAAGGTAAGTTTATAAAGTCCCGCCCTTTCCTTTGTGCGAGCAGGTTTCTTCTCTGTCATAATCCTGGCATTCAGCCCTGCAGGTCTGCAGACTCCTCTGCACGTTAGATTAAAGGCTGCCGGATCCTCCAGACTCCGCCTTCATGTTCTGCTGGTTCCTCCTGTCCTCCAGGAATCTCAGATATCTGAATACCTGTCTGCTGAGTCTGTGTGGAGTCAGGGAGGGACTGTGTAAACTCTGCGGTTCTCTCTCTGGGTTTTGGAGCACATTGATTTGATGCCACTAAACCGTCATGATGTCAGAGTTCAGACGGTTTCCAGAGTCGTCCTGGTTTCATGTGGTCTGACTCTGGAGCTCTTCGTCTAACACCAGCAGAGGTATCACCACCAGGTTCAGTTTAGAGACGGCGTCTGTCATCGGTGCTCGTTTACACACACGCCCTCTAAAGTCTGTTTACCGCCTGTTTCCACACGCTCTTCTGTAAACCGCCCCCCCTCATAGGATCACTCAGACCGCCGCCTGTTTCCGTCAACGTCATCTGTCTCTACACAAACACGGAGAGTTTAGAGGGCCCATAAAAAAACATTAAAGTGTAGATCCTGGTAGGACCGGTATGATCACCGTACACTTCGTCATTTTATCCGATCTTGATTTATCGTCACGATTTTATTTTTTTAACTGCCAGTTTTAAAGCATCTGAACTAAAAACTAAAGAAACTAGAGATCAGTTCAACATTTTATTAACATTTAAAGTAAATAAAGAAAATTAAATAAGATAAACTTAGAAAAATAAAAAACATTTAAACTGAACAAACGTAGATAAAAACTCAGTAATCCAGTGAACTAGTTTACAGTTCTGAGTGTTTCTGACCCAAAATAAACAGATGTCCCCTCAGAGAAAATGAAGACGCCTTAAAATCCAAACATTAAAGGATGGTAACGTAGTTGATAAGATCGATTACTTTGGTCTGGCGGCTGCGCCTCTAATGCTTCTTGTGCCGTTTTCATGTTTTCCTCATAATCGCTCAGGAAGAACTTCTTGAAATAAACAGATCTGTTGTTTTGCCGATCTTTGAGGCACTGACCGCCGACATACCGTACACATCGGCTTAATTACTCAACGTCACTTTGGAGATACCTGAACCATCGCCACACGACCGACGATCAGTAACTTCTCAACAATGGCGTCTTCGCCACCCAAAGTCACGGCTGACATCTATGTTCAGTCATTCTGTTTACTTCCTGTTTACTTCCTGTTTACTTCCTGTTTACTTCTCCGATAACTTACAGAAGGGAGCAGGAAAAGCTCGACTCTGATTGGCTGTTGTCACGCACATTTCCGCCATGTTTGATCGAGTAAATATGCTCACAGCTGATCACTGTGATCGAACTGAAATTTATCACCATCATATAATCGCCCAGTTCTAGATCCTGGTTAGTGTCGGTCCAGTTTGAAGTCCTGGTTCTGGTCTGCTGGATGAGAAGAACCGTGTTCACTCCAGCTCCTGAGAAAAATGAGCGTCCCCGCAGGGATCTGGCGCCCGGCCCACTCTGACTCCAAACCCGTTAATAGAGTTTGACCTGGATCTGAGCGGCGCTGCTGGGAGGTTCTGATAACGGGCTGCTGCTGATGTAACGAGGACGAGACGAAGACGCTTTGACTGACGCTCGTCCTCAGACGTGACGGCCTTTGTGTTTGTTCCTGTTTTACATGTCGGAGCGTCGGCAGTCAGATGAGGCTGAAATCAGAGGGACAGGCGGGAAAACAACGTCAGAGCGAACCTCCTCTGAGTGTTTGTTCTCGTTCAGGCGGGTCATCAGAGGAGACGAACGAAGAGTCATGGCGGACAGTACGAGAAGAGAGGCGGGTCAAAGCGTGGTTTAATTTTACTAAGAAAGACGAGAACAGAGCAACGTTTGTGGAGCAGTGAGAACATGTGAAGGTGGAAACACCAGAAACACGCTTCAACGTTTGTCAGCGGGGCGTCAGACATAAGGAGTCACATGTTCGATGTTCTGTGTTTACATAAATGTCAGAGCCGCTGCACAAACAACATTTCTGTTAGACTCACTGACGGTGGCAGACGTCTGTTTCTGTTTTCAGAGACTCGGTGAAAACCTAAAGTCTCCTTTTATAATCAAATTGATCAGGGAGCCGTTAACGAATCGATAATGGCATCGATATCAATAAAGTCTTATCAGCTCCCATGGAGCCTGCAGGGATCCTCCCGTCCTGTAGGGGTCAGAGCAGGAGTCTGATCCTCCAGGTGGAGGTGAAAGCACCTTCTCTAATCAGAGACGGTCCTCTCTAAGCTCCACCCTCAGACCCGACCCCTCGCTCTCCAACAGAGGGTGGACGTTTGCTCAGAGGAACAGCAGCAGAGCACAGAGGTTCTGGTTCTGTTTGGATCTGTTCAACAAATGAAGAGGAGGTGATCGCAGACGTGTGCAGAGAGGCGAGGGCAGAAGGTGAAGTTGATTTAAAGCTGATAAGTCTGTCAGGTTAGTGTGTCAGGGCTAATGCTGACGGAGTCTGGGTGGAGATTAGAGGAGGAGGAGGAGGAGCTTCATCTCACTGCAGATCTTCACCTGATCTTCAGGTGGACTGACCTGCTGCTGGGGGGGGAGACAGGTCCTCCTCGGACCCTTTACAGTCATCAGAGTTTTCTCCATGCTATATTTACATACCTGCTGTTTAAACCTCAATAACCGTTTTAATTCTCTATAAAAACTTTAACTGCTAAAGAAACTAAATCAAAGTGTCTCGTCCTCGCGCGCACAGAAGATCTTTGACCATCACAGTCTGATAAACATTTTAAACAGTCTCAGTTTAATTGGACTAAACTCATAATTCGTCTTTTTCTCTGAATCTTCTCTCCTCGTCCTCGTTTACATGCAGCTGAGAACATCGAATTATTGACGTGGACGTGTCCTCCTCCCCAACACTAGGGGGCGATACGGGTCTTTTCAGTGGCGCTCTTTTAAAAGGCCTTTTTTAAAGATGTGTCCGTTCCTCGTTTTGAGACCGTCCATAAACTTTAAAATGTCGGTTTCTCTCCTCGTCGGTTGGTTCTGAGTTTAAAGTTTTTTAATGATAGCGCCACTTCCTCTCTGTTGGTTTTGTTCCGGGGTTACGGGGGCGTGGCGCACGCTCACATGCATTGTCCGATCATACTCTGACTTCACTGGTTACATGGTAGAGAAAATCGAATTCCAGTCTCATCATCTGGGTGTCTTAATCAGAGTTCTTAAACTCTGATTATAGTCGGACTAAGGTGTCTCCATGACCTTCAGTTGTCTGGTCTTAATCGGAATAAGACGATAATTCGGTTTTCTCGGGTGTCATGGAAACGGACTGAATGAGCAGGTATGAAAGTACAGCAGGAGGAGCTCTGGTGGTTCAGAAGGTCCAAAGTGTGGTTCCATGATGTCTCGGTCCATCAGATCCAGTTGAGCTCAGAACCTCGGACAGTCTCCTGCTGCAGCGCCGCCATCCTGGAGTAAACACAACCATCGGTCCAAAGGTTAGCGAGCTGACCCACCGCCGTTATCTCCGATTCCTCTGACTGTGAGGCGTTCAGAGGAAGTAAATCTGCTGCTGCTTGTTTCTTAGATTCATTACGGTAACTTTCACTCGGACTCTCTATCAGCTTCTTGGCTCATCTCTGAGGGGTTCGGTTCAGTCCAGGTCTGGGCTCTTCGTAGACCCGCTGAGTGTCTCCTCACCTGTCCCTCGGTGCAGACTCAGGTGTTTCTCTCTCTGCTGTGTTTTTAAAGCTGCTGACTCAGCGCGTGTTTATTTATCACGCTCAGCTGCTGAATGACGGTCTGACCCTGAAGAAGGTCCGTCTGTTTGAACTGTGGTGGGTTTGGCCGTCCACTAAACCACTGAAGGTCTCTCTGCTCCACAGTCTGACTGTAAGAACATTGAAGGTAGACGAGAAATACCTGAGACCTCCTCTGCTGGGGTCTTCAGGTTTAATCTAACAGACAGGAGGAGGTCAGAGCGACACGTTAACTCTTCGTGAACTCAGAGAGGTCTGGAACATCATGTGAGGATGTGTTCCTGCAGGAGGATGATGCTTTTATTTTGACGAGGGAGGTAACGATATGAAAATTTAACGTCATGATTATTGTGACCAAATTTATCAGGGTTATCAATATCATCTCGGTATTACTGAAGTATGTTCAGAGTGTTTAAAAAGTCCGTCTACACACCCTGAAATAATTTAAGAGTTTTATTTTGAAAAAACACTCAGGATGACTTTTTCCTTCACCTGAAATCATTTAAGAGTTTTATTTTGAAAAAACCTTTTCCTTCACCTGAAATCACAGAGTGTCCGAGGAGCTTCCTGCGGCGGCTCTTCTCAGCTCTGAGCAGCTTTTCCAGAGAGCGACAATCAAACACGGTTTTAACGATAATTAAAATCTGAAACGGTCGTAATAACCGTCAGACATTTTACCACGATTTATCATTTTACATCCCTAAGTCTTCCTGTCTGGCATTTCCTGTCTCCTAAATCATGCTTTTATTTTGAAATGAAGTGTGTGGAGCTGAATTAAAAAGATTAAAAACTGTTAGAAAGTTTTCAGTGTTTCACCAAAGAGGAGAAACTTCTTCTTCTAAAACTCCTTCAGAAGTTTCCTGAGGAGGTTCGGTCTGAGTCGACCTCCGTCTCTCACTGAGGAGGTTTGGTCGGGGTCGACCTCCGTCTCTCACAGGCTGGTTTGGTTCTATAGTTCAGAAACCTTCTAAGCGGACTCTTTCTGCATGATAAGAGATGGTTTCTTCGGCAGACAGTTGAGGTTTTTAACTCAGTGAGGTGTCGTTTCTGTCTTATTTAACGCCGTCTCTCCTTAAATCCAGACCTGCTTCAGCTCCGACCAAACCGCAGTCTAACAAGAAGAAGAAGAAGAAGCAGATCTTTAAAGTGTTTTTAAATAGATCTTCAGAGAGGCGTGAAGAAGAGGATCTGACAGAGTGATGACAGTTTTCTCCTCTTCATCCTCGGTGGAAGTGAACAGATGCTTTGTTCTGTTTTTAAACCCTCTGGGCTTTTATTTTGACGGGAGCCGCCGTCCTTTTGTTTCCTGCTGTGTTAAAACGCTGCCAGGAGGCTGTCAGCTTCCTCTGCCTCCCTCTTCCTCCTCAGTCCTCCTCCGCTAACTGGGAGGGAACAACCATCATCATCATCATCTTCATCATCTTCATCACCGACATGACAGTGAGCGCCTGAGAGTGCGGCGTTCACGGCGTTCAGTTAAAGACGGTTAAAGGAGGTTTTTTTTACACGTGAGCTCAGCTCCACTGTCAAGACCAGCTGTGAAACAGCTGAGTCAAATACTGGAGTCTGATTGGTCGATCCTCCTCCACAGAGGTCTGTTATTCCCTGATAACAGTCAGGAAGTTCATCTCACTAAACGAATCTGTGGAAATGAAACTTCTCTGCCTGTTGACACTGTGGTAAAGATATTTGACGGTAGGGCCGGGCGATCAATATCAATATCAATATCCCGATATATTGATCAGTTCACTTTGATAAATGGACGATAACTCCTCCACCAGCTGCTCAGCCCCTCCCACATTAACCTCTGACCCGTCCTCCATCTCCTCACCTGTCTTTCCCTCTTTGTTACAGACTGGAGGGGGCGGAGTCACGTCTCTGATGTAGGACAGCGTCTTAAAGGGACAGGAGACCATAGCCTACCTACACACATCCAACAACAACTTTGATTTATTGATTTATTGACACTGACCGATATGGACAAAATGACGTCGATTATTGAAAATGTAAATGTTTGGTTTCTCGCTCAGCCCAACCTGACCGTGTTTTAAGGATGTAACTAAATATCACAGTATGGAGGTGAGAGCAGGAGGAAGTCTCAACTCCTCCTTCTTCTTCTTCTACCTATTACAACTTCTCTTTCTCCTGCTCTCTCATCTTCCCCTCTTCTTCTTCTTCTCCTCCCTCTGTCCTCTCTCTTCTTCTTCTTCTTCTTCTTCTTCTTCTCCTTCTTCTCCTCCTCTCTCTCTGCCTCTCTTTCTGTCCTCTCTCCTCCTCTCTCTCTGTCCTCTCTCCTCTTCTTCTCCTCCTCTCTCTGCCTCTCTTTCTGTCCTCTCTCTCTGTCCTCTCTCTCTCTGTCCTCTCTCTTCTTCTTCTTCTTCTTCTTCTTCTTCTTCTCCTCCTCTCTCTGCCTCTCTCTCTCTGTCCTCTCTCTGCCTCTCTCTCTGTCCTCTCTCTCTGTCCTCTCTCTTCTTCTTCTTCTTCTTGGGTTCAGACGCTGTCAGACTTTTCTCTTTTTCACCTCCGTACGTCTCTCAGACCTCCTCAAAGCTCCTCCTCTTTCTTCGCTCCACTTAAAGGAGGTCAAAGTTCGTCCCTCTTATTTCACAGACTGATTTTGTTTTGATCAGGTTTGGTCGAGTATTGATTAATTGATGACAAAGATTATTCTCCTTCATGTCAGCCTGGTGTTTATAGTCTCAGTTCGGACCTCTGAACTGAAGGTGTTACTCAGAGACGCTCAGTCTGGGTCCAGAACCGTGTCCAGTTGTCCATGAGTTTATTTTTGGAGGTAGAACTCAACAGTCAGAGAAACGGACCTGAAGGTTGAGAACTTCCTCCAGGACACGCCGTGACGCTGTTTCACTCTGAGCATGTGCGGTTTGATCAAGAAGAACAGGTACGCTGAGAGTCTGAGACGGGTTCCCGTCAGGTCCTCTTGGTTTGTAGTTTGGGTCGGTTCTGACGGACTGAACTGGGATCATCCGTCTGTTCTGTCTGTTGGTGTTGGTGTACCTTTAAAGGGCGTGTCCGCGTGAATCTGATTTCTCTCTTATCGAAACACAAACTGATCTTTTAGTGAACAGGACACACGTCTCTGTCCTCCACCTCCTCAGTAAAGAGAGACACACTCGGCTCTTGGTCTCCCTCAGAGACCAGGTCCCTGTGATCCTCAGACTCAGTGACGGCTGCTGTGAGGGTCTGTCAGTGACTCCTGAACCACGCTCACAGTGAGGAGGCTTTAAAGGAGTATTCTGCAGTTTTCAGAGCTGGACCCTCGTTTCATGTCTGTCTCTGGTTTAACGGACTCAGACTGGGACACGTCTGCACATGAGATTTAGTCTTTAGAAGACCTGAAAAACGAAGGAAGACTGAAGAGCATCTCTGTAGCTAAAAGATCGAACAATAATTAAAGAAGAAACTCACAGAGTAACCGCTCATCTAGCCCCGCCCCTTCCTGACAACATCAGGTCCTTTAAACCTGATTTTTATTTTTATGTTAACAGTAAAAACAAGAGAAAATCAGACGTCCTCAGGTCTGTCTGTGTGTGTGTGTGTGTGTGTGTGTGTGTGTGTGTGTGTGTGTGTGTGTGTGTGTGTGTGTGTGTGTGTGTTAAACACACCCAGAGCTGTGTAAAGAACACAAAGACGTTGAGTGTGATGATCTGAATAAAAGGATCAGAGTCACAGAGTTAGAGCAGCTAGAAGCTGACCCTCCCCTGCAGAGATGGTAAACACAGACAGAGTCTCACTCTCTTTAAAAAGTCCGACTGACTTTTAAAGTATTTTTATTTCATTTAAAATCATCTTGAAACTGTTTGTCTAAAAAAAAACAGCCTCATGATTTCAGCGTCTGTCTCAGCGGCGTGACTCGGGTCCTTGAATCCTGCAGAGCAGGACTGTCGGGTGTGTAGTCGACTCTTCATTAGTGACTTTGTTTGTGTCATTGTGTAACGTTTGGGCAGATCACAGGAAACACAATTACAGGATGAAACTATTACTTTTAATGACTTTCAATGACTTTTAATGACTTTTAATGACTTTTAATAGTGCATGAGAGTTGTGTGTGGTCTCTGTCTTTGATTGTATTTTTATATTTCCTGGTGTTTTATCTGATTTATTATCTTTACTCTAAATTGACTGAGTTTTCTCTGTTGATCTCTGAGAACCTCGTTGTTTTTAAAATGTGCTCATGAACATAAAGGAGGATCAGATCAGACTGTTGGAGGGGGTCTGTGGAGGAGAGAGGTGGACCTGCTGGTCCTCTGACAGTCCTGGTCCTCCTGTTTTCTTCTGTGAAGTGAACTTCCTCTGGGCGAGGGTTTGTGTGGGTCATATCTTATCTTACTTCTGCCTGTTGTGTCACGGCTGCAGCTCCTCATTCAGCAGGACGTCACTCTGAACACGCAGGTTTTCACTCTCAGATTTTGGTGCGCTGCCTAAACCAACAGGAGACGCGTTTCTCCGCCGCTGCTGCTGCGGCGGCGTCTGTCCTCATATTTCCTCCCTGTGTCAATGTGGGCAGGTCCAGGCGAGTTCCTCCACGCTCTTAAACACACACAGACACACACACAGACACACACAGACACACAGTGAGACAGGTGAATGCAGCTAACGTGTCACTGGAAACTAACAGGTGTTTGAACCCGAGGACTGCTCAGTTCTAGAAACCGAGTCAGGAAGAACCGGTCCAAATGGAGCTGGTTCCGAAGCGTCAGTCTGGGGGGGCAGGAGATCTGCTGGATGTGACTGAGTCGGTACGTTTCCTTCATTTACGTCTGATCATTCATAAAACCGCCGTTTTAACTCTCAGACAAACGGACCTTTTTTTTTTCTGTTTGTTAAAATATCGAAGATTCTGACTCTTGATTATCTCCGTGGTCGCCGCCGCCGTGGTCAGTCAGCGTCCGTCAGTCTGGTCCAGATGTTCAGCCGTTAAAGCGGTTTATGGATGTAGATGTGAGTCTGTTGTTTGGTCAGAGCTTCAGGTGAATCTTCAGAGCAAATATTGGAGGAATTGGGAGTCAGCGCTCCGAGGTGATCGGTTTGATCACTGTGACTCTGTCCTTATTGATCCTGAATATCTGCTGATCGAAGGTTTTATCAGACAAACTCAGGACATCTAGGAGCCGGATCTATGTTTGTAACAGCTGCTACCTCTGAATATGGAGCTTCATGGTGGACGAACAACACGTCCTCCGAGAACACGCTTGTTTAAATGTTCTCTGACTTTATCCTGAGAGGACTGATTTACAGATCCAGATCCGCCGTTTCAGAGATCGGTACATCGGCGCCACAGGAGGAGCCTTAACGAGCTGATGTCTGTGTCACTCAGCTGTCACGCCAAATTAACGATAAAAGATCCAAACGTCAGAGCAGCCGATGTGTTAGACCTTCACCACTCTGTCTTTGGTCGTAAAGACATCAGCGTGTACGTGATCACGATTAAAGACGTTTCATACGCACAAATGTCGACGGGGTAGCAAGACATGACAGTGTCACATGTCACACGTCGCCATGGCGCTTAGAAACACATGAGATTAAATAATGTGTTTAACGGTGACCGCGCAGATGTCTTTACAAACAGAGCGGTGAAGGTCTGAGACTTCAGGAGACCTCAGACTGGTCTGAAGGTCAATCTGAGGTCTGGATGATGACACACACACACACACACACACACACACACACACACACACACACACACACACCCTGATTTACAGGGACAAAGGGAGGCTGCACTTCACTCACCACAGAGGACAAAAGGAGGAGGAGGAGGAGCAGTATTGTTCAGAGGTCTCACTCCTTCTATTCATGTGATGATCGGATGGATTAGAAATAAAAACATGAATTGTTCGTCTGTTTAGATGATGTCAGAGCAGGAACTCTCACCTGCATCACTAAAGGTGTGTGTGTGTGGATCAGCAGGTGTGTGTGTGTGGATCAGCAGGTGTGTGTGTGTGGATCAGCAGGTGTGTGTGAGTGGATCAGCAGGTGTGTGTGAGTGGATCAGCAGGTGTGTGAGTGGATCAGCAGGTGTGTGTGTGTGGATCAGCAGGTGTGTGTGTGTGGATCAGCAGGTGTGTGTGAGTGGATCAGCAGGTGTGTGTGTGTGGATCAGCAGGTGTGTGTGTGTGGATCAGCAGGTGTGTGTGTGTGGATCAGCAGGTGTGTGTGTGTGGATCAGCAGGTGTGTGTGAGTGGATCAGCAGGTGTGTGTGTGTGGATCAGCAGGTGTGTGTGTGTGGATCAGCAGGTGTGTGTGAGTGGATCAGCAGGTGTGTGTGTGTGGATCAGCAGGTGTGTGTGAGTGGATCAGCAGGTGTGTGTGTGTGGATCAGCAGGTGTGTGTTTTCAGTGTTTTCAGGTGTTTGTCTCACCTGAGCCTCACCTCTGTCTGCGGTTCGATGATGTCAGCTGACTCTAAGTGACTCCAGAACACACGAACGGGTGACGTCAGTGAGACTAGATCCAGGTTTTAGACAGGACATGGTCCAAAGGATGCTGGTTTTAGAGGATAAAGAGGTCGGATTTAACAGGCCGGGGTCCAGAGAAGGTTCTGGTGGTTCTGGATCGTGTCATACAGAGGTTTTCAAAGTCTTTCTGAGTCCGGTCTGTTTTTAACGCCCTCAAGACCAGAACCATCCAGTCCTGGTTCTGGTCCTTTAGTACAGAGGTTCCTGATATTATGGACTGTAGATGATGTGACACACGTCAGCCTGTGAGACCGATGGACACTTCACAGTTTGGTTCCTCTGAGGAACTCGCTCCTGGACTTGGAGAAGTTTCTACAGTCCGGTGGAGGTCCGGTGGAGGTCCGGTGGAGGTCCGGTGGAGGTCCGGTGGAGGTCCGGTGGAGGTCCGGTGGAGGTCCGGTGGAGGTCCGGCTCCGGCTGCAGAGTCCCTGATCTGTGAGAGTGCCGAGGTCAGCGTCAGTCAGCTGGAGGAGGTCAGCTCCTCCTCTCTGAAGGTCGAGTCTGACCTCCTTCACAGAGAGGGGGCCTGCAGGCGGAGGAGGAAGAAGAGTCTGTCTGTCTGTCTGTCTGTCTGTCTGTCTGTCTGTCTGTCTGTTTCTGTCTGTCTGTCTGTCTGTCTGTTTCTGACTGTCTGTCTGTTTCTGTCTGTTTCTGTCTGTCTGTCTGTTTCTGACTGACTGTCTGTCTGTCTGTTTGCGCTGCAGCTTTCCCAGAGACAACCCTCCAGTGAAGATGAGACCATGGTCCCAGTACTAACGTCCAGAAAAGCCAGCGAACTCCCCGTCAACGAAGCAGCGTGTATCCTGCAGGTGAGAGGAAACGCTGAACAGCTGAGAGACGTTCAGATTCCACAGATCAAACATATCGACATGTTTGGAGTTTGATCAGGACATGAACCGGCGTCTCCCTGTTTGTTTGTTTGTTGACAGGCTGACCTGCAGTTGGGTCTGACCCAGGAGGAGGTGTGCAGGAGGAGAGCCTACCACGGCTGGAACGAGTTCGACATCAGTGAAGATGAGCCGCTATGGAGGAAATACATCTCCCAGGTAAGGAACCCTGACCTCATTCTGAGGAGACCTTCAGGTTTTGGACCGTTTGGATGATCTGAAGATTCAGATAGTTCGACTGTTAACAGAAACAACAGGTGAAAAATGAATGAGTGATGATGAAGAGGTGAGTGAGGGTGAAGGAGTTAGAGACAGCAGATGAATCCAGAGACGTTCCATCCATGAGGATCCAGGCGGGTCTTCAGTCTGATCTGTGATCCATATAACTGGATCGCTGAATCCAGTTTGGACCAGTTCTTCCAGTGCAGGTCAGTCACTCTAACCCCTGACCTCCACCTTCATCCTGATCGTCTCCTAAAAGGTCGTATCCTCCGATCGTAGCTGATCGTAACCATTCAAGTTAACGTGTCAATTTACACCGACTTCTTTCCGTTCCTCTGCGGATCGCCGGACTCCTCAGCTGATCACAAGAGTTCTATTTTTTCTGGACGCCGGAGCATGGCGGATAAATTCAGCACAGATTAACCCGTGCTGGAAAGGAAGTCGGGCACAGACACAAAATAAAACATCCGGCTTCTTTTCAAAATAAAACACTCCGTGTTTCAGGAGGATCGTATTTCACACCATGCAAACGGGCGGAGACGAACAAGTGAAAGGTTTTTAGACGTCATTTCACCCCGATGACACCATGGATGAGGAGATGCTGATTCTAGAAGTCTAGAAGTAGATTTCCTCCTCTGGAAGGACACAATCTACTGCTTATATGTCTATGTGTCTGTCTTTAGAGAGACAACTCGTTATCGAGTGATTGGACGTGAACCTGCAGGTTCTTGTATATTCTCGCTGTCCGCCATCCGCCATGAAATTCTCCTCACAAACAGATCCAGTAGGAACGGGCTGACAGTGAAAACAGCTGTTGTTCCGGTTCGGAGTCGTTCTGGATGTGGTGGATATTAGCGGGTCACAGCGGAGCTTCACTGTAGCGTCCTTCAGTAGAATGTCTCTTTTATCGTCTCCCTCCTGTCTCTTCAGCTTCATGTCGGTCCATAAATCTGTTTTGTTTGATATTTCATAAATCAGCTCTGCTCTTCAGAGTGTCGTCTCTCCTCTCATGTTCATCTGTCATCTATCTGCTGATATTCAGATCTCGGTTCTCAGGAAGCTCTTTACACATTCAGCTCCAGGACAAAGCCCACACTATTTTTATCTGCTGCTGAGAAAATATCTGGAGGCCCGTCGTGTTCCTCGGTGTGGTTGTTGTTTTGTCATGAGAACACAAAAGCTCACAGTAGCTCCTCTTTTCTCTCCCTCTTTGTTCTCCTCACATTTCTCACATCGTTGTATTAGAGAGGTGTTTTTTTGGCTTCATGCCGCTGAAGCAGCCTTTCCCTGAAGTCGTTACGTAACACGGTGATTTCACAGAAATGAGCTGCTTCATATTCAGAAGGAAGAAGGAGTCGCTGCAGCTTCGCCGCGTTCTACAGGTTTACTGAGCTGATCCAGCGTGAGAGCGCCGCTGCTTTTCTGAACACACGTGTGTTTTTATTTTTAACCAGGAGTGAGGAAACATCACAGGAACATGAACAACACAGCAGCATGTATCATGATCTTAACGCCGTCTAAAGATTCTTCTTCAGATCTTCTCTGTTTTATTCCTGCAGACAGACTGAAGGGCTGACGGTTTGAGAACAGTCTAAAAATACATCTGTGTTTCCTCTAAAGACCAGAGGAACACTGTCAGCTGACAGACCAACATCAGGGTCTGCTGCAGCCGCAGACTCCACCTCCTTCATCTCCGTCAGGTGTTAAACAGGCGGGCGGGGTCACCTGGAGGACTGTGGTCTCAGCTTGTATCCAGTCGAACCCTGACACGGTTGGTTTGTGGAGAGAACTGAATTAACCCTGCAGCCAGAGAAACGAGTCAACGCTTCATTTCTCACACTGTAGTCGGAGGTGAAGTGGTGAGCGTGAAGACATGAACCAGCTGATGTCACCGCACCGTCTGTGTTTCATTTAACCTTTAGCTGCTGCGGGGTGGGCGGAGCTCCATCACCATGAACAACATCCACCGCTGATGTGGTTCAGAGGATGTCCTCTGATTCTGTCCTTCTTATACCTTTAACTTCAGCCAAACTACCGTCTCAGCGTGGAGCTCAGAGGCTGTGGAGCTCGGAGGCTGTGGAGCTCAGAGGCTGTGGAGCTCAGAGGCTGTGGAGCTCAGAGGCTGTGGAGCTCAGAGGCTGTGGAGCTCAGAGGCTGTGGAGCTCAGAGGCTGTGGAGCGACGCCGATACGATCCTGATCGAAGAAAAACAAGATCAGACGTTACAGCGCAGACAGGACGTTCACTTCTGTCAGTTAAAGTCCCGGTTCACGATTTTAGAAGCAGTTAAAAAAAAAACTGAGATCGCACTTTAGGACCATGATCGCCATGGAAACGAGGGTCATAATAATTAACAATCTCTACAATCATCAACCAGGACTTTAATGCTATGTGACGTTACGTTAAATTACCTCGTTATGTTTCGTCCTGCTACGTCTCACTAAGTTGTGTTATTATTTGTTATTATGTGTTATTATGTGTTATTATTTGTTATTATTTGTTATTATTTGTTATTTTGTGTTATTATTTGTTAGTTTGTGTTATTATGTGTTATTATGTGTTATTATTTGCTACATTAGGTTCTATTATGTTACTTGATGTTGCGTTACAGTCAGTTGTGTTACACTGTATTACATTGGATATGATTGGTTAGAGTGATCTGAAGTCAGACTCAGTAAATGATGATATTAGAGGATATTTGACTCTAAGTTACATAATAAAAGAGTTTAATTCAGAAAAGGAGACGACTGTCATCAGAGTTTGTCAAACTGCTGTCAGACACAAAATGATGAAACACTGAACAAGATGTAACGACACAGGATGACACAACAGGGTGTTTCACAACATACTACAACATGAAGACATGAAGACATGAGGACAGAGTTCGCCTCAGCGTGACAGAGTACGATCAAAAATACTGAAGTGTCTTTTTAGTTATGAACTATTTTAATAAAACAAACACAATATAACAGACCAACAGTGACCTCCACACTGACACTGACACAGACACTGACACAGACTGACACAGACACAGACACACTGACACAGACACAGACTGACACGGGTCACAGAAGAGGACGGCGTGAGGAAGAGGACCTCCCATCCTCCAGAGCGGAGACGTTGACCTCACGCTCGTCTTCATGGACTCTGAGTTTGTGTCTCAGTGAACCTTTTAGACGACCGTCCTTTAACCACATCACGCTGTCAGACTGAAGACCTGACCCTGAACCAGGTCAGCCATGTTTGATCAGACTGGGAGGTTCAGTGGATCACATCAGTCCACGTCTTGGATTCTTCAGAAGAGCGTCCAGAACTGAGGGCCTGATTGGTCCCCACAGTGGCTCCACCCCCCTGTAGTTCAGACTCTGTTAAAGGTCTTTGTTTGAAGCTCCGTGTTTTTGTTCCTGCTGAAGTGGAAAACGCCACACCTGAGACGCCGTTTCGCTCGGATACAAGTCTGAAAATAACTTTTAAAAACAGTGATGAGGCGGACAAACAGGACTGACCGGAGGAGAGGATGTAGACCATAGACGAGGATGTAGACGACAGTCACCTTTGACTTTTCCAGATTTGAAATGTCAGCTGTCACGCTAGCCGGCGGACTGAAACGCCGAGTGAAAACAGACCGATGGTTTCTGAACTCGTGGTTTAATCAAAGTGACCAACAGCTGGAAGAG